TCTGTAGGTAAACGGTTGGAGCAGTTGTACTGGCCAAGTAATTGCTTGGGTTTCTTTTTGGTTTCAAAATACAGACATTGCCCTAAAGACCACAGCTGCTTAGACTGTGAAGGGCCACATGCGTATTAAGTTTAAGAAAATTTTTATTTGATCAAATGTTCAAAACCTCAGCCACTGAAAAAGCATTAGTTTCCAACTAAATTGTAATTTACTGCCCACATATTTTGGTACCAGCACTATTTGAAGTCATCACTTTTTGACAATATAGAAAACAAAGCTTTTGCCCCCCAAAACAACCCGGACCTCAAAGAGACAGTCCAAAAAAGAGACTGGCTGAACATTCAGAACTATACCAGGTGGAGGGAGGAATGAGGTTGCTCACACAAGAAGCAAGACACTAATGCAGCTGCATTCCAGTACTGTCAGGCTGTTAATTCTGGTATTAGTCACTGCATCTAATGCACGATTCAGAACCTGAAATACATTCAGTGATTTATTTCCAAGAAAATAAGGAAGCGTTCTGACAAATGCATTTGTGAAGAATTATCAAAAATTTACTGTGCAGAGAGCCCAAGATCATTTGCTAACTCAAGAGTCAACTGCTTTTCATATATCCTCATTTTTGCATTTTAATTTATATACAGATTTATGTTTTAGCTTTTATTACTCCTTGTTTATGCAAGGTTCTAACTGTTAATATTTGCAACTGTCATGAGCCAAGCAAACCATTTATGTTTTTTTTCCCCTTGAAGCTTAACTATGGGACAACTTTATGAGAAGGAAAAGGATGAGGATGGATTCTTATATGTTGCCTACAGTGGAGAGAACACATTTGGTTTCTGAATGGTGGGTCTTGGATACTATACCATCCTGCTGTGTATCTTGTAAATAGCTGATCATTTTCTGTTCGGATGTCCACAGAAGTTCCTTCTATATACATGCATTTGTAACTGGATTTATTTCTTAATATATTGATAGATCTTGTTTTATTAGACTGTTAAATTATAAAAAAAAAGTTTTGTTGGTTTTGTGCATTTTTGGTTTTTTTTCTCATGGCTATGAATTCCCAGAGCCTCACTTCTTCGGAGGATACATTTGATGACATTGATAAAATAATAAAGCAAAGTAGTTGGGCTACTAAAACATGAAGAGAAGAACACACATTTATTCTGTTTTGAGGTGTTAGTTTAAGAAAAATAAAACCAATAAATTAGTATTGGGAACACTGGATTTGCTAGCTTCTAAGCAGGACCAAGATGCTGATCGTGTTGAATTGAGCCAGTATGTTCCTCTTTCTCAATTAACAAACAAGTACAATAAAAATTCCTGTCACAAACAGGCAGTGCTGTCATTTCTTTACCTTAATTTTGTCCAGAAAGTTGCACATCCCATTTACTAGATCCTATAGTTACTTGTATTACTTACTAGATGCTGAACAGCTTCTCAAACTTTAGTGTGGCTGATGATGCAAGGAAGAAACAAGGAGCTCTTTGTAGGTTCCAAAACCAAGAACTTCAGATCTATCAGGAAAAGAGCTATGCTGGCCCACAGGCTATCAATGGATGAGTAACTACCATGGACTTTGGAGAACAGGACCCAGGTGTCAAAAGCACAGCATGTAAGGGAGGGGCACCTAGGTGAAGGAATTATACAAATAGGAGACCTAGAGATCTGAGGAAGTGGAAGGTATAATTCTTACATGAGTTATTGCAGAGCAAGAAATAATTGCAAAGGAGTTCAGATTAAAACAGCTGCATGAGTAGCTCTTAAAAAAAAACCAAAACAAAACCAAAACAAACACCCCCTCACCCTAAAAAGTAGTTGCATTACAGGTAATTATACACATCCTTTCCAATCAAAACTCAGTAGATATTGTAAGGACGTTACAGAACCCAGTACGTGAAAGAACAGCTTCCCTGTACAGCTGAGTGGTTCGGGTGACACGCCAGAGGGAGGGGACACCATTCAGAGGGACCTGGAGAAGCTCAAGAAATGGGCCCATGTGAACCTCATGAAGTTCAACAAGTGCAAGGTGCTGCAGCTGGGCCAGGGCAACCCCCAGGATCAGTACAGGCAGGGACTGAAGGGAATGAGAGCAATCCTGAGAAGGACTTCGGGGTACTGGAGGATGAAAAACTGGACATGAGCTGGCAGAGTGCACTCGCAGGTCAGAAAACCAATTGCATCCTGGGCTGCATCGAAAAAAGCATGGCCAGCAGGGTAAGAGAGGGGATTCTGTCCTTCTCCTCTGCTCTGGTGAGACTGAAGCACAGCTCGGGGCTCCTCAGCACAGCAAAGACACGGTCCTACTGGAGCAGGTCCAGAGGAGGTCACAAAAACTACTGAGGGCTGGAACAGCTCTCCTATGAAGACAGGCTGAGAGAGCTGAGGTTGCCCAGAGACCTTATTGCAGCTTTTCAGTACTTAAAAAGAGGGCCTATAAGAAAGACAGGGCAGACATTTTAATGGTTTTAAACTATGAGGGTAGACTCTGACAAGATTTAAGGAAGAATTTATTTTTTTTTTAATGAGGATGATAAAAAAATTGAAGAGTGGCCAGGGACGTTCTAAATGCACCCTCCCTGGAAACATTCAAGGTCAGACTGAACAAGGCTCTGAGCACCCTGTTCTAGTGGAAGGTGTCCCTGCTTACTGCAGGGGGGTTGGACCTTTAGAGGTCCCTAACTATCCAAACCAAACCACTCTATGATTCTACTTCATTGAGACAGACAGCTAGAATTAGAAATTCTGCATGCACAATATTCAAGATCAGTTCCTCCAGTTTATTGAGCGCTGTTGCCAAAGCACGTACCCAGTACAGCAAAAGTGAAGAGGTTTAGTCAGAAACCAAAATCTTCTCTTCAAAGTTACACAGCTACTTCTACTTACAGGCAAAGAAGCAAACCTGTGGATCATCCAGGAGAGGAGGGTGGAAAAACCACCTCATTGACCCAATTGCACAGTACTGAAGTTCATGCCTTGATATTAAAGGATACCACTGGCTTGGAAAAATAGCATCACTCTGACCTTCCTAAGCCAGCAAGGAAACACTAAATACAGTTTACATTCCTAACAGAAGTTTTACTTCATTTTCACACTACGTGGTGCATAAAAATTTAATTTTTAAAATGTTTCCAGTCACAGTGGGAATTTATCACTTTCCAAAATTAAATTCATACCAACTCAAAGTTCCATGAAGACACATTATGCCTAGAATTATGTTTGGCTCTGCAGTCATTCACAAGTGCTGGCAGAAAGACTCCAAAATGTGAAGGTAGGAGCTTGTGAAATGTTCACACTACTCTATTATTGAGGCTTGTCACAGTAACTGTGCTCCATGTGCTGACTGCATCAGAAAATGCTCTGTTGGTCTCAGTAAGCCTTTCATTATTCACAATAGCACTGCACTGTATAGCACTGCTTTAGTAAACATTCCATCACTGCTTCTGCCCTGAATTCCTTCTAACCCCCTTTCCAGGCATTAATGTTTACTCCTAACAGAATTTTTGATTCAGAATAAAGAAAAGTGATTTCATCTGTCTTTTTTCTAATTACCTTTTATTACTGAAAAGTGTTGTTTCCTTTAAGCTGAAACTTCACAGTTTTTCTAGTTATCAAGTAATATTTTTTCTTAGCTGTTAACACATCATTAAAAACTGCTACATAAAGGCAATTACAGGCTAGCAAATAGATATATCTAAAAGCAAAGAAAGATGTTATGATCAAGGTGACTTTTGTATTACCCTTCATAATCCTCTTAGACCACCACATAACTGTTCTCTTTAACATCTCTGTATTTATTAGTTTAGATTAAGGAGCCCAGATATGCAAGTAATTCTAGAGAATGCGAGGATAAACGTTCTACAGCAGTAACTTTACTTTTCCTCTGCAGATGCACTTTAAATGGCAATAAAACATCAAGAGGTTTCCTTTCAAAATGCACAGACGAAATGTATCCCTTTAGAAAGTACAATCACTCTTGTAAAATTATTAAAAGCATTTGGGTCCCCTATGATCTTCACTTGCTGTTAACCCTTTCAGATTGGGAAGGCATTTAAATTAATACACTGAATAGAAAACGAAGAAATACCTCCTTACTACTACACAGCAACACTTCTGTATCACCGATCTTTAAATTGAAATGTCACCTCTGATATAACTAGACTAGTACTGGATGAATTTAGTATTCAGTAAATATGTAGTATTCAGACCATTTAGATGGTCTTTTCTCAAAAATTATCTTGCCTCTACCTGCAAATCATTGCTGCAACCCACTTATGGCATTATCAGATACTATGAGAGAAAGAACTCCAACACCTTTCTTTCCTCCTTACCAACAGAATTCTCCTGCCCTCAGCAGCAAAGCCTGAGCTCTTCCTTTCCTATAGTGCTTACTGGATTTATTGCAAAGCTCATTTAATTTCTAGTGAAAGGCTACACCTTGCTTTGGACTCGTGGTTTGTTTTTCTACAAATACAGTTATTTAAATAGTCTTCAATTTACTCTGAATGTACTGAGATAGTAAGCCTTCCAGCCTGTTTGAGGTGAGCAGTGGAGGCACACTGTGAAGATCAAAATCTTGCTTTTTCAAAGTTAGTGGGATGAGAGCATCCTGTCTCATGAACTGCAGCCTCCAGGTCAAACAGATTGGTTAGTCCTAACCCTTGAACAAAAACACTTGTTTCTATGCTCTGGTTTAGACTTCCTTAAAGATGAACAGGGAGTCTGCCCTGCCCTGCCTTCTTACTATGATTGAGAACAGAATGATGTCTCCAACAGTGAGGCTGTTAAAGATTGTTCTGGCAGTCAGAGACCACTGGTCCCCATACTAGTTTGGGAAAGTCAAGGACCTATCTGGGTTGTACAAACATGCTCTGTAGAGCATTTGACACATCCCATGGGAGCCTTGGCACCCTCCTATGCTCTGTTTCTCCTATGAATTGTTTTAATTTCGTCCTTAACCATGAACTCTGGGCACTTCATTCCTGCTACTTCACTCCCCCCAACTCTGCTCCCCTGTGGCAGAGTCTGCATTCTGCTGTCCTCCCTGTGCCCTGCCTATCTCTGTTTCTCAGGGTGTCAGCTATCCTAGCACAAAGGAGTGATACAACCTTGGAACACATCAACTGGTACTTTTCAGGAGCAATTCTTCCAAAGATCTGCTGACAATGATCAAAGTTTAGTTTGCTACCTCTTACAAAAGCAGAGACTGCGTCCTCTCCTATCTCTGCATCTTTCCCTTCTGATTTTTAGACCAGTTTCACAGTACTGCTTACAGCATTTCTTGACATTTTGGAATTAAACAGATGCAGCATTTAAATACTTATTTTCCATCACAGAAATGCCATCCAGTTGAGTATAAGATCCTCCACAGGCTTAGCCTTTAAAATGCTGTTTTGTTTTAGCTCCTTCCCTCTCTTTGTATATTCATTGACATGCTCTAGCTTAAATATGTCCTCGACTCCACTCAAAACATGAGGTTAATATCAGTATTCAGCACCTCGAAAACTGCTTTTAAATCTGACAAGTAACAGAAAAATGGCAGTCTACAGTTCACAAGCATCTTACAAATGCACAGAAAAATCTTACCAGCAACAATCCTAACAGCCAGGCTCAAATTTTAGAAAAGAGTTATAAGAATTTAAATCATATAACTGCTCATCTGAAAACGAGTCTGATGCCAAGACTACAGAATGAGTCTTACACAACCCATTTTAATATTGCAGCTGAATAGGAAATGGGAACATTCCAGTCTGGTCAGGAGGTTCACTAAGACATTGTTGATTAACAAAGGGAGACTAGGTATGGTAAGTTAATAGTTTGTGCAAGATTTCAGGAAATGACATAGGTAAATTTCAGGAACCTGGAAATTTACTGGTAGTTCTTTAGGTACACTACAGGACTGCCTTTGCAACACTATTTGCTCAACTACAGTAACTGCTACCATTTGTCTTCAACAGTTCACCCTGTGGCCCATATGCAATGGCATCTGGCCATTTTTTATCCTCTGATGAATCATGCAAGTCACCCAATCTCCATAATCCCCTGCCCTCTACAAACATACAATGACTCCCCCCTCACCAGTACAACTGGTCTTTCTGCATGTTAGTGCTGCATTTGAGAGAATAGGCTTATACACACAGAATTCAAGGTTTTTGTTTTTTCTTCAACAAGTAAGAGAGAACTATACTTATCTGACAAGTCAATGTAATCATGAAGTAAAAGGATTTGCTGTAATCAATTCTCAGAATGTACTGTTTGGTCCCATATCTAGCTCAGTAGGTTGACAGCAAAGGCTGTTTGGAGAACTGCTGTGCCCATTTTTCAAATCCAAAACTGTAATATACCAAAGAGCAGAAAATTCAAATCACTGAAGAATTCCTATGTTCTAAATTATCCACTTCTTTCATCTTGCCATTGCCTTGTCCAAATATTTTACAATTTGTGGTTTACAAGAGAAAAAATACAAAGGGGGAGTGTGCTCAGTAGCAGTTACACAGTCCTGAACTTGCTCATAGAAGGCAATAACTGGGACAGAAAGTTTAGGGAGGGTTATCCATCCACTGCTTCCCCCACAACTGCTCGCAGTGTTGACGGTTTTGCCGTGCAGATGTTAGTTGGTAATAAAGCATGATGACAAGAGACTGTAAGACACATGCCAGAGAGTACTTGCAGTCCCCCCAAAGCATCTCCACCTTTGCCAGGCTATTAATGAACACTTGCCAGGGAACAGTGACATAAATGGCTAAGGCATTTCTGCTTTTAATTAACCACATCCCACAGGGGGACAAGGGGGATGCACAGTGCTTGAAACACTGAAAAGTAGGTAAATGCTTGCGTGTAGTTCCACAGGATTGACAGGTTTGAATCACGTAATTCAGGACATTTCTTTCTTTCCTATGGAAGCAAAGCAGTTGGAGGGTTATCTGTCAAAGTCCTGAAATTAAGAGAGATGCATGGGATATCATAAGAGGTATTATTTGACACAGACTCCTCCCCAGCACTCTTTTACTTCTGCTGTGGCTGTAGCTGTGGCTATATTTAGTAAATAGCACTATATATGATTGATTCCCAGAAAAAATGACGCTTTAACCGAACTAGTATTTCCAGTTAGAAGAAATAGGGCTGGGGGACATGGAAAATTCTTCCAGGCACCAGACAAGGAGAGCCAAGAGTTATAAAAATATTACTTACTATACATTAGTGTTGTCCCAGCAACAGAAAAACAACCATAACATTATGAGGACTGGAAGAAAAAAGCAGCACTAAAATTTTACAATGACGGCCTTTCTTCCACAGCACTGCTTCAATTTCAGGTGACATTACTTTCACTGCAACAATTATGGCAGATTGATCATATCCTCATATAACAGAGGGCAGCACATCCCTGCTTCCTTTCTTTTGGAGGCATATTGTTTCATGCAGCTCAGAACTTCAAGTCAGCAATGATAATTTTCTGCATTTAAATAAAAAGGGCGCTTCAACACAACGAAAATAAAGACCTCTATAAATTTCTTTCCTTTTCACTCCTGTCTCTTTACAGCACATGAACTGAGGACATCTTTTCCTGGACCTTGAACTGCAGAGGTATCTGCTGTGGACCAGAGCTTATTGCTGGATTTACGTAGCCACATGGATTCTCATGTGAAGTGCAAGTATTCTTTGGCATTCTTGACCCAACCCAGCAGGGCTTCGCTACGCAGCACTTTCCAGGCTTCTTGATAATTCAGTGCAGCTTCCTTGTAGTCCCAGTAGGTTTTTAGAGTCTTCATCCTGACAGAAAATGCACAAAAATGAAAACAATTCTATGATCCTATTGAATATAATGTCACAGAATGAAAAAAGCAATCAAACTTCTAAGAACATGATGATACCCTATGAGCTCTTTCATACTACTAGATGAAATTCTCTTCTAGAGGGACTTGGAGAGGCCCAGGCCCTGAAGCCAGACATTGTCAGCAGTCTTTCAAAAGGCAGCAAAACAACTCTTCTACCACACTTCATACACACTCTCCAGCAATAGAAGCGTTTGACTGTGTGACCACAGGTTACAGAAAATTTCCATGATAGCAAAAAATGCTGAAGCAGAGCTGAAAAGGTGGCTAGAGGTGCTTTGAATTGGGTAGAAGTAGCCTTAGCTTGCTAGAAGAACAGATATGCTTGCTGGCTGGAAGGGAAAGGGACAGAACAAACAGGACAGTTCTTTTCCAACACAAAACTGATGAAGAAGAGTGAGACAAAGGAGAAAATAAATTTTTTTCTTTCCCTAAAGTAAAAGAGACTCAGTGATTTTGGTGCTGTTCCTCTTCCTCAAGTAGCACCTATTCCCCAGAGTCTCAGCAGAACTATTGGTCACTCTGCTGAGTACATTATGCCATTGATTTTCAAAAGAGAGAAATTCAGGCCTAGAGTATCTGACAACAAGTGCCTCTAAGACAATTTCATCAAGACTTTTTTCCTTTCCTTGCATTCCTTTCTCAGCTTCTTTCATCTCCCTTTGCCAAAAAGTCTGTCAGCCACATGTGGTATGCAATGTTTTTACACATTAAACCCAATACGAAGGAAAGATGACAGGCAACATGACCTTCACCAAGCAAGAGGAAGAGCCAAACTACTACAGGAACCCTAATCTAAAAAGTCTGAGAACCACTGCACTAACTTCTAGAATAGGCTTTAATCCTCAAAGGCAATAATGATCACCCATCACCCCCAAAACTGCAGACCATCAGAAGCTGTGTTTCAGGCATTCATCATTCTGCTATAAATTTATTTCTAGAACGCTGTGACATGCATAGCAAGCCATATTATCTATCCTGCAGACCTTATGTTCTGAATGTGAGAGAGTGGTGAACCTGTCTATGCCCTTGCTGAACACAGGAGATGTCTTCCCTCTTAATAAACCTTGCCCTGCACTCTCATCCCAGCTAATTCATTCTGCTTCACCTCTTTCACATTAATCATACTCCGAGAAACTAACTTTGAGCTCCTCTGCAAAGTTCCATGGAAGGGCCCCCTGCAACTCTCCCCCACCTGGGCAGTGGAACAGTCACAGAACCCCATAATCTGTAGTGGATCATAGTTCAGGAGCATCATTGAACAGGCAAAAGACCAGCAACTATTTGCATAAGCAGCATTCAGGAAACAACCTGGTCCAAGAAGGATCAAAGTCAACCCTCCACAACTGGCTCCAAAACCCTGGCACAGGCAAGCTGCTTCTCTCCCAGGTAACATGTGCCTCAAACACAGTGCAAACCACCTGCACCTTCACCTCCATTTCATCTATTTTTCATTTCTTCCTTGCTAAATGTTGCTCTTTTTCCCTGAATCTGCTGTCAAATTAGCAGCTCTGACTCATACCTATCAGTCTGACCCAATTTAACTAAAACACATATGGGATTTTTCTAACCTACATTATTCCAACAGACTTTTGTTTGGAAACTCTTACAGCAGACAGTAAAAAGATAGCTAGAACAAAAGCAGGATAGACAGGAGCAGGATTCTCACCACACTGTAGCAACTACTAGAGCACATGTGACCACAGCCTCTTGGGGTCTCATTCTCCAAGCAGACAACATCAGTATAGTGATTTAAAAGTGCATGCAACAGAAATTAAAAAAGTATTTTAAACAGCTTCCTCAAAGAGCTGACAAAATCAACAGATTTAGTTAATTCATGCTTGATTTGTGCATTAAGATTCTAAGACATTTTCAACACATATACAGGAAAAACGCTTTCAAATTCTACGTACATTGTATCTGCATAAAAACCTTACGTGATTTGACTGTATCTCAGAAGTAGTTAAGGCTCTAAGCATTAGTAATGAAGAACCTGTGACCTTTTTTTGGCAGAAGCAAACACTAGTTTGCTGCCCCAGGCAAAGTTAAACAGTCACAGGATCTCCACCCTATCCAAGTCTGTCTGACATACGTTTCTTGCATGTTTCCCTTTACTATTTCAACCTTGCCCCCACACTACAGTGCAAGAGAGAGACAGGGATTCTGATGGCTTGTGCCAGACATGAGAAGTGGTCCACAGACTTCCCTCTGAAAGATAACACAAAAAAGGCTTACAAAAATCACCATTATGCTTGAAAACATTCACATGCTCAGCTACATGCAAAGCTGAGCGGGAATGGGCTGATAAAAAAGGCAGCCTGCAAAGAAAAGCAATACACTGCAGCAATACTTCCTTCTCAGGTAACAAACCCTACCTTTAACTCCATATTCAGTTTCAAACATTTATGTTTAACCCATAATGTACTTGCAAGATTACAGACACATTGCACGTGAAAAATATGCACAAGGAATCAACCAAAATATTACTCATACAAAAATTACCAATCGCTGAATGATGCTTAAAATCTTAGCTAAGCTACACTAATACAAACACCTAACCTTGCCTTCTAGGAGAGCCAGCAAAGTTCTGGCCCCAGTAGGCTCTCTACCTGTTCCAATTTAACAGTGCCCACACTCATCCTCTGGATAGAAGCAAAGAATGAAAGACAAAGGAAGACAAAAGAAGCAGGAGAAGCAGCTTTAGATACACAAAAGAAAACAAAACATCAGAATCAGTATAAAGCTTTAACTTCCCTGGTTCCTAGGCTAACAGTGGACAACAGTTAAGTTGGAAGGAAGAGTTAAGTGAAGAATGATCCTTGTCCTAATATACCCTACAACTACAAAACAAGCTATTCAGCAATTTTGAAATTATTACAGAATGAGCTTCCCCCAATGGAACAGAAAGGATGGGAGGCAAGAGACCAAAAAGTAGACTAGAAAAGGCAGGGTAGGAACTTAGGGTCAAAGAGCAAAAAGGAAACTGGGTGGCAGCACAGCATTAGAGCCAAGAATTTGTGGGAAGAGATAATAGGATACCTTTGAATGGAAAGAAAATACAAAACTGGGTAACAGTTAAATACACAGAAGTTTAGAGGATGCAATTTGAGATTGTGGGATTTCTTATTTGAAGTTCACTCAAACTCAAGACTCCAAGGAAGAGAGAAAAACAAAAATACGTCAGAATATTGTGTAGAAAAGGAAAGGGAAGATGAAGAAAACAGCAGCACTAAGACACTATTTTTATTTTGCTTTTTAAGTGAAGAGGAAGAAAAACAAAGACTTCAAAAGTGAATCAGCTGCACAAGCTGACTGGTGAGCTAGCACCTCTACTGTAAAAATAGAGTTTATGCAGCCTAAAACCAGTGTCACATCTGTGAATCAGCTGGACTTTCTCAGGAGAAGCCCAGACAGAAAAACAGTAGAGGACAAAAAAGTCAAAGGAAATGGCAAAGCCACTGGAGTCTAGAAAAGCCCTGAGGTGAAGTGACTTTATGTAAGCAGCACATGATCAGAACAATGAGTCACCTACCCAACAATGCACCAGTACACAACCTGTTTTGAGGAAATTATGATGGCTAAACAAGTAAGGACAAACTCCTACCCAAAAGAGGATAATAATATTATATTTTATAATAATAATAATTTTATATTTTAAACTGATTTACAAAGAGAGTGTATTTCTACTTTAGAATGAGTTGAAAGCATCTCATGCTGACATCAGAACTTTGAAATAGTTATGAGACATTTCTACGGAATCTTTAATTCAACAAAACTCAAAAGCAAGCAAGATCTACTAATTAAAGATCCAAGGTGCACTTACTTTGGCTAATTTCACTGCATCTACTGTCTTGGTACCATGAAAGGCTGAAAGGGCCTATCTCCCCTGCTTCCAGCCACACACCTCCTACCTCCTGTTTTAACTTTCCATGAGCCAATTCAGCTCATTAGTCCAAGAGAAAACACAGAAAACAAGAAAATTGTTTTCATCCACATTAGCTAGTTGAACTGACTCGCCATGAGACTGGAGAAGTGCTATTGATACGAGGGAGAAAACAGGAATCTACAGCCAGTAGCAGCAGAGACTGCTGGGGGACCATCCCTATCAGCAGCTACAAGCAGTTAAATTAGCTCAAGAGTTCGTGTAACTGCATCCTAGAGCTGGTGAAATTATACCTGGAAATAAGTCTAAAATAAAATAAACCTTCTGTGGCAATGGATTTGGAACCTTCTACCTCTCTCAGAATCTCTAAGTCAGAGAGAGAAGTTTTCTGTGCATGTGAAACTATGCCTTACTTTATGGCAGCTATTGGGGCTGGAATACCAACCAATAATGCACATAATGGTAAGGCAGACTGGATGATTACTGCAAGTAATTAACTCCAGTTTGATACACCAAACTTGTTTCTAATACTGTAAAGGAAAATTCCAAGTATGGCCTCCTCGCACAAAAGCTTCCTTCTGTTCTTTCCAGAAAGTCTCTATGTCACATATGCATTGCATAAAGAGCCATACACACTATCCCACCTTACTAGCTCCTACTCCACCACACACTGAGAAAAGATTTTAGCCTAGACTTAAAGAAAAAAAGGTTTTACTGAAACTCTTCCTTTCTGTGAAACAAAGAAATGGCATTTGATAGAATTACTAAACACCAACTAGACATCAATAACTCCCCAATTTTTGGATGCGGGGTTTGAACACCACCAAGGGCAGGCAGCTGATCTAGTAGCCATGTTTTCAAAGAGACACTACTGCCTCATCTTCTGTCTCTTTTCACATTTTTCAAGTATCAGATTTTAACAATGAACTTATCTGAAGGGAGATTCACGAGCAGATTCTAGTACCATCACAGTATTCTTTGGTTTCATTAAGATAAACTCACTCTTCTAAATGCAATAATAATGTCTTTACCGGAGAGTGTCTGGTAGATCCTCTTGTGAAATACTTGTCACCAGCTTTTGGAATTTATGGAAGAGCTCCACTTTACAGATCTTGGATCTAATATATAAAAAAAAATAAATTAGAAATTCTGATAGAAAAAAAGAAATCAGAAGTTTAATTTCCCGTGAAAAGCAGAGATCAATGTGTGCCCCTCCGCGTCCCCTCGTGAGGAAGTTGTAACTGTGAGGTCTCCCCTCAGTCTCCTCTTCTCCAGGCTGAACAAATCAAGTCACCTCAGCTGCTCCTCATAAGGCTTCCCCTTCAGACCATTCATCATCTTGATGGCCCCTTCTCTGGACCCTAATGGTTTTATATTCTTCTTATATTCTGGTGCCCAAAACTGCACACGATACTCAAGGTGAGGCTGCCCCAGTGCAGAGCAGAGCGGGACAATCCCCTCCCTCGCCAGGCCAGCGATGCTTTGCCTGATGCCCCCCAGGACAGGGATGGCCCTCCTGGCTGCCAGGGCACTGCTGACTCATGTCCAACTTGCCACTGACCAGGACCCCCAGGTCCCTTTCCGCAGCACTGCCCTCCAGCCTCCATTCCCCAGTCTGCAAGTACATCCAGGGTTGCCCCATCCCAGGTGCAGAAACCAGGACTTTTCTTTTCCAAACTTCATAAGGGTTGGTGATTGCTCAGCCCTCTAATTTGTCGAGGTGTCTGCAGGGCCTCTCTTCCTTCCAGGGAGTCGACAGCTCCTCCCAGTTTAGTATCTTCAGCAAACTTACTCAGTGAACCTTCGAGTCCCGCGTCCAAGTCGCTTATGAAGATGTTGAAAAGCACTGACCCTAAAACAGAGCCCTGCTGAACCCCACTGGTGACTGGGTCATGCAAAGACACTCTAAAATTTAATCTTCAACTTAATCTGTCAAAGGTTCATACTGTAGTCTTTGGTGGTGTAGTTAATTAAGCATTAACAAAAATACATAGCAGACATTTACCTACAAATTCCTTTTAGTCAGTCAGCTTTAACTTCCTTGATATCTAGTGTTATCTAGCATATTGATTCCTCGAGAGAAAAAAAAGTGTAGAAATACTTATCACATTTATTATTAACCAGCACCACACCCAATAAGGCTGTAAATTTCTTATTTTCATTATAAAAGTTCCTTTTGTGACTGTTTATCATGAAGGTGTAAATAGTTGTTCCTTGACACTGCTTTTAATCCTGATTTCCTAAGGGAATGAGACCTTTGTAATCACAGTCCTGTAGACTCTAATAACTTTTGAATGTTTTAGTGAATTTTGAGCACATAGTGAGAGGAGGATCTCTCACCACTAATTAAGTTCTTACACTTCTGTGCTAACTGGCAGCTAGCAGATGGCGCTCAAGTTTTCGAGCTGATACACAAATGCTATGTAACAAATTTAAGCCTACTGAGAAAAAAGGGGTTGGTTGGTTTGTTTGATCTTTCACACATCTTCTGGAATACATTACACACCACATATTGAAAGCTACTATTCTACAGTGCACACAAAGCCTGTCTCAAAAGACACACTAAGTCACCCAGGTCATGCATGTTAGCAATACCCCAGACACCAACACTGGTCACAAACCACAAAGTTCCCCTTCTTTACACAGAAAATTTGAAAATACTAGGATATACCAGTATGAACTTCAGTCAAGTCAGGCCTAACCTCAAGAAGCTCAGAATGTGCCACTTGCAGGCATGTGAACAAATTCTCCACAAGAATTGTCTAGGCTCCACTTATTATGTTATTCATTATTCAGGATGATTGTCATTCTCCCAGAAAGTGTGGGAAAAATGAACAATATGACTACTGATAAACTGGTAGTAGAAGTAGCCAACAACTAATACATGCACCCTGACTCTCAAGCTGAATTTCCACAGACCACTGACAATTTTGGTCACCTCACCTAAACTGAAGATAACATCGAGATAGAGAAATTTGTCTGCACATGTTACAAGTAATTGTTCTCAACCACAAGACAAATATGTAACTGGCTTTTTTAAGCATTAATTGTTGATAAAAGATTATGAGATGTTTTAAAGAGCACAGTGCCAAGACCACAGTTGGAAAGGTTACACGTTTCATGTTAGGAATGTGCTGCAAGCATTTCAATACATTTTCAAACTTTAAGGCAGAAAGTCATGCTTCAAAGCAACACTTCTAACAATCATACACCCAGTTCAGTTGGCTTGACTCTTAAAGAAAAAGAAATCTGCAAAAAAGAGAACCTGCAATGTACACATTTCCTTCATAGTCATCAACCCAAAAAATATAAAGCAAAAATTCTGTTAACTTCACCAGTAAATATCCTTCTCATAAAAATTTATCACAGTCACCCGCGTTTATCTACAATGCTCTCAACAATGACAAAGAAATAGGATAAACTTAACTCTCATTTAACTTTTTTATTGCAACTCCCCTCTCTCCCTTACACAGTGACTCTCCCCTTTCCCCTGCTCCCTACCTTCCCTCCTTTTCCCCATTCCCTAGATTTCCTTCTGCTCTGACAAAGCCCTACACATCACATGAGCTGACAGAGGCACCTATGCCAACAAATAAAACGTGTGTCTGGACATCACAATATTCTCACACCTGCTCTGATGGCTCCCAATCCCCTTCTTTGTTGTTCCCTGGCGGAAGCCATTTGAGGTGACATCCAGAGGTTCCTCAGGGACTGCACTCCAACTGATGGCTGTAGAAGAAAGGATTATGAACAAGGGAGATGCTCTTATCACAAAAGCAGAACCTAGCAGTTCCTATGTGTTCACGTGCTGCTTCCAAAAGTAACTCAAACTAGAAAGAGGAGCATGGTTCTCTAGGGCTGGAATTCCAGTACCTAAAAGAACAGGTAAACTCCGTTTAATAAAAAAAAAAAATAAAATACACATATACACACACACAGAGCTTTCCTCTTAATTAGATCCTTTAAGAATGCATGCTTCTAAATATCTGGCCTCCAGCTTTGTAATTCTCCCTTTCTTAGGGGGATTCCACTTTCTTCTGTACATCCTGTCCAGATAAAACATGAAGAAATTTCCAAGTCAGATGGCTTATTTTCACATCAGGTAGTGAAACAGTCCCCTAAGCAACTTGCACCAGTCATTCTGTGTTTTCCTTAGTAATTCATTGTCTGCTATTATTTTATTGTGTAAATAGTTCTATGTTTGATAACTGATGTACATCAAGCATTTGTAGACTTTACTTGAAAAATATTATTAGCTAGTAGTCAAAAACAGTTTGCTGAAAGAGGTAGCATATGCCAACAACCTTATCCTTTGCCCCAATTCTGGGAACTTTGTAATCATTTAAGACTGTAAACTTCTTAATGCTGAAACTCTGCTTAGGACACCTTATGATTTATAAGTAACCAGCAAAGCATTGGCAGCATTGGCAGAAATTGGTGTGCCCCTGCACAGCAGGTCCTTTAACTTCTACTGCTGTAAGACAACTTCTGTTCCCTAAATTATCCCATTTCTCTGTGTTCCTAACAGGCAAAACAGTTGCATGTTCATTAACTCTAAAGACCATCTTGCCACCCAAGACTCTCAAAGACTGGTTATGATTCAGCTGCAACTGTCATACTCCACTAAGTATCAATTGTACCTGCACTGAGATTTAAGTACAATTCTGCATGGCTCTACTAAATTACAATCTTATGTAGCATGAAATAACATTAGATACATACAACTGGTATTAAATCCTCCATATATATCTAAAAATCACCTGGTCAGAGGACATCAGATTCTGACAAGCAAATAAAAAGTCACTTAAAAATGAGAACATCTTCTCTTCTTTCACTTCTTCATAATTATCTCAAACTTCAAAATACTAAACAGAACATGTTTTTCTTTTTTAAAAATACCAGCTGAAATGTTCCTATCGAGCATATTTCAATGCTCAGGGTAACAGTCCAGAATTTAGAGTTTATTCTGATTTTCAATCCTTCAAGAAAATAATCAAGCCAGCATAATTCACGTGTGCAAAAAAAACTGTGAAAAAGCATCATTCATTTTCATTTAACAGAATGACCTGAAAAGTGTACAGAAAGACAGACATACACTGAATTTAGTCGCAGTCTGTTTCAGATATTTTCTGATACGTGAATTGGCAGTATTTTTCAATGATGAATTTTGTTTCCTATCTCACAAAATCAAAATAGTTTCCTTCCTGGCACTTATAAATAACTGCAATTTAATGAATCCGAATTCCATTAAGGAACCCTTTGTTTCCATTCTATTTTATCATCAGCTCTATTGTAACAGAAAAATTTCCAGTTCTGCTTCAGACAGCAGAAGGTAGGCATGTCCAAGTTTAAGGAAACTGCTTAACCATACACGGAGTGGCAGTTCTATTTTTTTTTCCCAAATGAGACCATGTTGCTAAATCAAAACGAGACTTGCATATTCATTCATCACCATGACAAAAAATGCCATGTCCAAAATCTCTATCAATTAAACCTTTACACTATACTACTCTGTATTCTTTCTTCGTTTAGATTTCTGGAGCAATTACAAGCATAACTCAGCATGGCAATTCTTCTTTTCATTACCAAGGAGAATGCAAAACTAACTGAAACAAGAAGTCTTTTGATATTTTTGTTTTCTTCTTGCCCTCGGAACTTTTGTTTTCCCTAGTTATTTTCTGTCTGTGTTTAGATTATAAATTCTTATAATCAACCAAGTGTTTATTCAGTCTGAAAACTCCCTACATGAAACTAGAGGCTGAGCTGCATAATATTAATTATTAACAATTAAGTTATGACATGAAATTAATTTCCTGCTGTTCATACTTTGCCTCTAGCACTGGCACTGAATGATGTCCCAAACAATCCAAACCACCTCATTTCTATTTGGACTTTTGCACTCAGTTATGCAATTGGCCCAAGTTAACTCACCTGCACTACAAGGAACAAGTTTTGTTTTGCTGTTAGATTGAACTTCCTGAACTGCCTCACGACTGTGTTCGAATCGAAGATCTGATTGCAGCAGCTTAACCTCCTGAGCCAGAAAACCATCTGGTAAAGATGAGATGTGCTTACACCTAAAGTAAAGGCAGAAAAATGCAAATGATTTTCGGTCTGTTCTTCCCAAGCAAGCCCATTTTGTATAATTTTCCTTCATTATCCAAAATATGTTGCTTTTACATGAAAACTGAATTCAACATGAGTTACAAAGGAAAGACAATGAGGTTTGGAGGCATTTTTCCCTTGAAAAATATTTGTTAAAAAAAAAAACAAATAAAGCCACATTAGTTTATTATTATTATTAGACCATCCTAGAAAAACTACAATGAATTGATTTTTTAAAAGGTCTAATTAAAAGTTAGTATGCAGGATAAAAACTGCAATATACTTCTGCAATCACAAAGAAAAATAATGATCATAAAGTACTTATATTATGTCAACCACATTACATTAGCAATTTTTAATGAACCTAAAGGTTCATAATCAAATCCTAAACAGACACAAAATATACTTGCAGTTCTATGTGTAATTGCATCTTCATTACCTTACATTACCATTGCATACTGAATGAGATTAGGATATGACAAAAAAAGGGTGTTTAATCACCATAATATTTACACAGAGCAGGAACAAATTAAGACTGAGGTTCATATTGTCAGATGCAATGGTCTGAAAAAGTGCCTGACTTTGCAACCTAAGAATAATGAGGCTAGGCAAGTTCTTGTCACATGTGTTACAGAGCAAGGAAAGGATTATACAGAGAGCTCCACTGGATAGGTAGTTAAGAGTTTCCCCATTAACACACTATGACCTCTCTTACAATCATCCTTGAAGGATGCAGGGCTATGGAGAAAAGGAGTTACCAAACAAAGTTAAACCTTTCATATGAACTGGTCTAGTAACTGCCTCTGAAAGAGAATGGTTCAGATCCCTGGTGTCTTTCTTGCTCTCCTTTCCCTCTACTCTGTCCAGATCCATTTACTCTTTTCTACTACTTGTAGATTCCTTTGTTGCACGCATTTAGCCTCCCAAGTAAGAAAAACATTCGCTTCCAATCCTTTCATTGCTGAGATAGTTTTCATCAGCTCAAGGATCTGAGGGGAAAGCAAGCCAGAGCACAACAGATGACTTTCCTCATTTAGCAGCACCGCACTTCATCTCCCACATAAATTTCCCTGAGGTGACAGGTTGTATTAGGAGAGCTCTACTCCTCACAGCAGGGACAAAGATCAAATCTTGGATGTAATTCAGATTAAAGCAGCAGACAAATTTTTACCACCATGGAAATGCATATAAGCTTTCCCTTTCCAGTGTAATACAACTCTGTCTTCTTCCTGTGGACCACTGCAAGCTGTCACATGCTAGTCCTGAACCACTTCAGTAAATCAGAGAACACTTGAGGTGGGAAGAGGCCTCTTGTAGGTCATCTGGTCCAACTGCCCCTGCTCCAGCAGAGCCACCTACAGCCAGTTGCTCAGGACAGTGTCCAGATGGCTTTTGAGTAACTGCAAGATGGGAGACTCCACAACCTCTCTGGGCAACGTCTGCCAGGGCTCCATCACACAGTAAGAAAGGATTTCCTGATATTCCAAGGGAACCTTCTGTGCATCAGTTTGTGCCCATCGCCTCTTGTCCTGTCATTGACACCACTGAAAACAGCCTAGTTCCATTTTCTCTGAACTCTCCCTTCAGGTATGTATACAAATTGATAAGATCCCCACAAGCCTTCTCTTCTCCAGGCTGAACAATCCCAGCTTTCTTAGCCTCTCCTCATAAAAGAGGTGCCCAAAATCCCTTATGCATCTTTGAGGCCCCTTGCTGGACTCCCTCCAGTATGCCCATGTCTCTCTTGTACTGAGAAGCCCAGAACTAGACAGAGCCTTCCAAGTGTGGCCTCACCAGTGCCAGTACAGGGGAAGGATCATCTCCCTGCACCTGCTGCAATACTTTGCCTAATATGGCTCAGGTCTCCATTAATCTTTGCTGCCAGAGCACACTGCTGGCTCATTTTCAACTTCAGGTCTAGCTGGACCCCCCAGTCCTTTTCTGTGAAGTTTCTTTCCAGTTGGACAGCCCCCAGCATGTATTGGTGCAGGACTTTGCACTTTCCCTTGCTGACTTTCATGAGGTTCCTACCTTTCTCCAGCCTGTTGAGGTCCCTCTGGACAGCAGCACAATGCCCTGTCAGCCACTCCTGGCATATCAGCCACTCCTCTTCATTTTGAGTCTTCAGCAAACTTGCTGGGCATATGCTCTGCACCATCATCCAGAAGATTAATGAAGACATTAAACAGGACTGGATCTAGTACTGACCCCCGGGTTACATGGCTACTTACACCTTCAACTACACCTTGCCCAGTGATCACTGCTCTCTGGCTCTGAGTCTGAATGGCTCTGGGCCCAGCCATTCAGACAGTTTTCAATCCACGTGTCTGCTCATCCAGCTCGTACTTTAACAGATTCTCTATTAGAACCTTACAAGACACAGTGTCAAAAGCTGACTGAAGTTCTGATATCTGTGTGACACACATTGTCTTTCCAAACTCACTGTCTCCACACACCCCATCTGATTTCCAAAGGAAAGCACTTACCTTTCAATAATTGCTCTCCGCATGGCTTCTGGGCTATATGGACACTTCCCCACTACAACTGCTGACAGATACACTGGATACTGCAGGAAATGCATGAGAAGAGCTCCTTGACACCCTAACACATTCCAGCGAGCCAGTTTATCACTGCAGGACATAGAGCACGTTCTGTCTCCACGACCTGGCTTCACTCGTAATAATCCCACACAGTGGTACCCCAGCCCAGGTGCTCGGGCATCATCCAGCTCTCCAGGTACACATTTGGCTCCAGTTCTATGAACATCTACTACCTTTGGTCTCACTAAGCCAGTCTCCTTATGAGCTGTTTGCATCTCTGCAGAACAGTCACAGCACTTTTGATTTGTGTCGTCTTCTCGTTTTACAGATTGTTGCTGAACAGGCAGGTCTTTGGTGACTGTGGAAAAACAACCATCATCTTCAGTCTTCATTCTCTTGATTGCACGATTAGTTGCCATATTCTCTGCTTTCCTTTTATCTTCTGGACGTAAATGATCGTGGTTACTTCTACACTCTGCTGATTGTCCAGCTGCATCACCTGCAGTCACTGGCTTAGAAAGCTGGTTCTCTGGTTCACTGATTGGAATAATAGAAGCATCTCCACCTAGAACCAAAGAAATAACATAAAATTGGCCAAAAACACATTTCATGACTGGAACACATCACACCAGTAATATCACAACTACTATTAGCTTTCAGAGAGTTGCACTCAGCAAAATTTAACTATGAGAATGTGTTTTTAAGACAACATTGTCCTGTGCAATGATGAATCAGATTTCACTGAAATTTGAGCCAATATATGCTCAACTTCAAGTTTTACATTCTACATAAGAAACAATCAAAAGAGTAAAATTTAAAACAAAACCTATAAAGCAAAAGGTAACAAAGGCATTTGACAGGCTACAAGCAGTGCTGAAGACTCACAGGAAAACCAGTCTGATCTAACTAAACAACATGAACCTCAAAAGAATAATTAAAGAATAATCTGTTAAATAAGGGTGAAAACTTTAATCTGTATCACTAAAACAAGCTCAAAACCAGAATTCTAAAGCTCAGCTCAAAGCCAGCAAAGCAAGTCTGACAGGCCTGGTGACAAAAAGAGCATTTTCCACGACAGAAGTTGCAGGGGGTTTGTGTTTGGTTTTTTTTGGTTTTCTGTTTCACTGGGTCGAGGGGGGTATTGTTTGGTTGGTCGTTTTTAGTAACTGTGGTAAATGTCGGTATTTTCTATTAAAATTTTAATCCAAGGAGAATGTTTAAAGCAAAGCAATTGCACAATATGACAGGACCTTTGGCAAGTATGTTAGTTTCTGGAAAAGAAAATACTAGCTATTATTGTTTAAAGTGAAACATTCAACTATATAACGAGCAGTATATCAGATTTACTGAGCTCTCATGAATCACACCCAGTAAGACAAATTGACAAATCTATCTGTAGAGGACCAGTCAAGCACATCTTCAGGCACATACTTGTAACATGAATTACTGCCTCACCCTCACTCCAGGCCAAAGAGAAACCAAAGAAAGGCAAGGGGTAGAAAACATTTTAAAAGTGGGAGCAATGTAATTGGTTCACTCCAGCATACTCACATGGGGTATGACTGGAGAAGAAAACAAATACGATATTTGGTTTAAGCTTCCATTTTCCAGTTTCAGTTCCCGGACTAAAGATACTACACTGCTGAAGGGAGGCTGCCAGCCACACCTGATGGAGAAGGTACCTGTCAGGCAGAAAGTTTTCATTAAACATTTACTGCATTTTTGATGCACGGGAAAACAACAAAACTTAGATGCCCTCTAGTGCCTGTTCTTTCCTGATGCAGTCTATGAGAAGCCAATCAGTTATGCTTCTACAGATAGATGGGATCCAACATACTCCATAAACAAAAACACATAATTGGAATTTCAATAACAGAACTCAAAGGGTTGGATTCAGTGGAGTTAACTATCTCCTCAAATTGTGTACATAAGGCCCTCTCCTCCCACTGTGTGTGTTTTTACCAGCACTGGAACTCATCTGATTCTGTAAGACTCAGTTTGGTGGCATCAAATTGCAAATGTACTCATTTCTGCAGAATTACTATTCTCCTGGCTCAGTTCCTTGAACCAGCTTATCCCATGTAAACAAGAGGACTGGTATGTGGGAAACAGCAAAACTTCTACCCTTGACCAGTAGTCATCAGACCTGCATTGATGTCACATGGAATCAGATCCTAATTCTTCATAAAGAGGCTCTACAAGAACACAGAAGAAACAAGCTTTTGTGAAAGGACCTTAACACCACCTAGAAGTGTAAAAATTAGGCTAAAATCCCGCTAACAGGGGGAAAGATTGTTGCCTAGAGAGAAGTAATGCAGTGTTTCATTACACTCTCCTATCTGAAGGGGCAAAATACGGCTATTTCAGCAACAGATCAAAACCATTTGTATCTCAAGCCCTTCAAGTGGCATTGAGTAACAGCACATGAACTCACCTCTGGAAGCTCCTCTTGGCCACAACTTCAGCATGACTGTCATTCAAAATGTCTCCTAAAGCAACAACCAAGTGAGAATACAAATCACGACTGAAAAGTAGACAAAGCAAATAGAATTTCACATAGGACAGTTCTCCAGATTTATTAGCATTGCTATTAGGTTATTGTAAGATATTTAAACTTCCAATCACCACAAAAGGAGCCTACACAAATGAAGGATAAAAAATGGACATGCAGAGCAAAGAAAGCCCTGCAATAAATAGTGAAAAATGGTAGTTGTGTGAAGTCATGTATCTAACCCATACACTTTTGGTACAAACACTTAAAACTATCTCATTGCAGAATATGCAGTAAGGGAGAAAAAGCCTGTTAGTGTCTTCCTGATGTCACCCCAAACTCAGTGGTATCTTTTGCATCAGACCACCACAAAACCAGTCAGGTAACCAACGTGCAATTATTTTGCTTGTGTTTTGCTTTGCTTTTAGCTATGATGTCTCTGAGTATGCAGACTCAGGACCTAAGCTATACATTTCTACGTATAAAAAGTTCACTCACCCTTAAAGCAGAAAGTGCAGCAAACTTTCAGGGCAGCCATTCTGGCTGCCTAAGCTCCTCTCTCCTTGATAAGGAGTGGTCTGACTTACACTTCTGGCTTCAATTCAGAATAAGTCTGAGCAGAAGACCTTGTACATTTTTATTGATTTTTATGACACCAGCAAGAGAGAAGATAACATAGGTAGTCTGTTCTCGAACTTTACACCACACTTACCATTTTTTCTCATTTTGTTTTGGCCAATACATTTTGTTCCAGTTCCCATAGCAACAACTTCCTTAGATACTGAAAAAGAAACGTTAACTGAACAAACTATCACCAACTATTGCCAGAAGTCTTGCTCTCACACAGTTATTCTGGTAAGACAACACACAGAACATTGTGTAGAAGAGAATGGACAGGAAGACAGGCCATGCAACCTTACAGAAAGAAAACAGATCCAGAACTGAACACAGGAGGCAGAGGCACCAGTGTGAGAAAAGTCTATGATGGCAAAGCAGGAACGCCAATAGAGGTTTGGTGTGCCAGGCAGCACAAGTGGACACTGGCAGAGCACTCCCCAAACATATAAGAAATAAACACGGGATACAATCTGCCTGACAACACTGAAGTGCCAGCAAGAGAAAGGAATATATACACAAATGCAAAATGCAGTAGGACAGTCTGCTAAAGGAGAGCAAACTGAGACCTTTCTAGGATTCTTTCAAATAGTAGCTAAACATTTTTGCAAGTGTTTATATTTGGAATTCACGTCCTGCCTAGACCTTCACCACTTTATGCAGGCTTTCATCTTCTTAGTCTGGGAAGAAGAGCGTTTCACTATAACCATCTCTTTCCAGACAGAAGTTGTAAAAGCTTTTACAATCACAAAGAGCAAAGAATTTGGGTGGAGATAGAAATGGGACAGGAAGGGGTGTATGCTTTTCTTAGAAGTTATCTTGGGGGGGGGTGTTAAAGCGCATCAAGGACTGCCACCTCCTCTCCCCATTCCCCACCTCCCAACCCTACCCCAACTCATTCTTACCCTGGAGGTTCCCTGGACTAGCAAAAGCCTCAGTTTGGGCTGCAGACTCCACTTTGACAACAGCTGCCAGTGAAGTCCATTCCCTCTTTGGATCTGGTTTCCCCTGCCTGGGGAGTCTCGTCCTATAATGCAGGTAGCACAGCCCAGCGATTTCATCAGCTGACCACATGGCTCCCGGTGCAGGCGCAGGCTCCGGACGGGGCCGGATTCCCTCACAGCCCGCGAACACCCACCCGCACCCTCCCGACGCCGCCCCGCGGGGACTCGGGCGGGGACTCGGTGCGGGGGGCGCCGCGCACGCGCAGCCGCGGCCCGAGAGCGGCTCCTGCGCACGCGCACAGAGGCACACACGGGGGGGGCGAAACAAAGATTTACCCCGAGGCCGGAACTTTGTCAGTGTTGAGCAGCCGTCCTTTATTGACAGTACTGCGGTGCACCGCGGATAAACGCGCCCTTAAGTGCTCCGACAACATCACAAAAGCAATAACCCTCTCTTTTCACAAGTCATTACACATACATGTTAAATCCCGCCTAATCCACGCCCACGCTATATTTATCGCTGTCGTTATTTCACGGTCTCTGCTCCCATCTAGCGTCCTTTTATTTAATTACATTTACAGTCTCTTGGAAATACATCTTTTTAGTCCATAAATAATTCCGTTGTACTGCTTGTATCTTCTCGCTTCAAATGACTTGTTTCACAGCCTTTCAAATGACTTCAACGCTGGAAGGTGACTGGTTACTTGTCAGTTCGAAGATATATGCTATCTATTTGCAAAAGTTATGTTCCTTTCCCAGTTCCTATTATCTAAAAGTTAGAAAATTCCCAGCAAGTTAAGCAAAATCAAAGGTTCTTGTACACATAACTTTAGCCTACCATAATTCTATGTTAATTCTTTATTAAATGTTTTCTAATAAAGTGTTAGTAGAAAAATTAAAATCTTTAAAAAACTTATACTAATAAATTCAAGCTTAATTTGGAATATAAAAGATTTAGCAGATAGTGTTTAACAGTTCCCTTTCAGCTGTCTCGTTTCCAACTCATGAAACTGGTTCTTCTGTTCTTTGTTCTTGGTTGGGTAGTCTCACAGCCTTGGAGGCTGGTTTCTGATTGGTTACTGCTTTTAAGCAATACAACAACATCTTCAAACTACGTGTCTTACCTTAAAAGTTATAGGATTCTCAGGCAAATTTCTCAGACAAGGAAAGATTCCAACAACGTTAATATCAGGCAAGTTTCTCAGGTAAATTAAGCAAAAGCATATAACAGGATTAACAACCTTTTTCAGGGTGCAAAGAGCGTTGCCTTTATTTATGTTCGCGCCACCCCGCGCTCACTCGGAGGTGCCTGTGGTGGTCTGGAGCCTCACACGGAGGTGCCCTCAGCGGGGGGCTCAGGCTGTGCCTCCTTCTTGTTGTCCTCTGGCTTCATGGCAGGGAAGAGCAGCACCTCCTGTGGACAGTGACAGCGTCAGCACCGCACACAGTTCTCATGAGAACAGCCCCAGCCCAGCTCAGCCTCCCCAGAGCTGAGCAGGCACAGTGAAGGAGCTTTTCCCAGGGGGACTGTGCTTCTCCAGGCCTCTGACACGGCTGCACTGTTGTGTCACTGTTGAGGAGATGGCCAGCTTCGCAGAATGCCATTCCCTGCTCCCTGAAAAGCCTGCAGTTAGGCACTGCCACTGCCAATGCTTACCTTGATGTTATTGGAGTCTGTAAGGAACATGGTCAAGCGATCAATTCCCATGCCCCAGCCGGCTGTAGGAGGAAGGCCGTACTCCAGTGCAGTGCAGAAGTTTTCATCAATAAACATGGCTTCATCATCACCTGCAGCTTTTGCCTAAATGAGGAAGTTAACAGTAAAAGGTGGATTGTACAGAGCTAGATAGCACCACTTCTTCTACCAAAAAAGAGGAATACTAGTATTTGTAGCAGCCATGGAGCTGATGAAACCTAAGCCCTGTACAGCTGTGGAGTAACAAATGAAGGAACTGGACAACTGTGGGAGTCACTTGGACAGGTGCTCCCCAAACAGCTCCAGGCTCCGTTCCTTTCCAACCTGTCAGTCTCCTTTCCTGGTAAAGGCCCAGGCTCTTCAGTAAAAGCCATCTTCAAAGCCATACAGCAGCAGATGACAGCGGAATTAATTGCTTTTAAAAGCTTCTCAGGTTCTTTATTGCTTGCAACCCCTCCTTTAATGTTTGCAGAAACAACTAAGAAGCATAACTGTTTGAATCATCAGTAGCTGCTCCATGAAACAAAATTTAGGGACTGCCCTTTTCCTCTCACTTAGAAAAATTAAAAAACCCTACACTGAGATAGTAACTAATGCCCTGACAGCCTCCAAGTGACAAAAGTCATAATAATAAAAAAGCAGACTGGCCTTCTCAAATTTAGAAAATGCCAAACATGTCAAAACAACAGCAAACATTTTTGCCCAGTTTCAAGGAAGACTTTGCAAAAGACTTAGAGCAAACTTTTCTGTCTGAAAGCTTGAAATGCAAACTGTCATTCTCCACCTTAACATTAAATTTTCAGGCAAATTTTCATTCAATACATATAATCCTATATCTGCAAAGTCTGACTGTAATCATGAGACAGCTACAGTAAATGTATATACAACAGATGAAACATAACAGGCATCTGTAGTATTATTCATTCTGACTGAACATTTTGAAATTTACTATCAAGTAAGTTAGTTAACATAAGTCTATTTTACTGACTCTGACAATTGTTTAATCCTCTCAGGCACTGTGAAGCAATTAGAGACAGTATAAAGGACAGCTTTGTTTCTGCAAACCACATCATCTGACCTCAATCATTTGGGGACAAGCATGCATTCATGGCTGTGTATACCTAAGTAATAACAAAATGAGTTTCAGTCACTCCTTTAAGAGGTCTATTATTTAGAGAAACCTAGCAACATAAATTTGCAAGCTAATAATTTCCAACCTGCAGCTCCATTCTGTGAGTCGACTTAAAATATTAATAACTCAGTTCAGGACATTAAACTATTTCTTAAACAGCATTCAAACTCTTACTGGACATGAAAATTTACTTAAGAACTTAAAGTATAATGTTGTATGACTATGTAAATACTTAGTTGGGGAAAAGTAACTTTCAACCTAGGCAAGACACAGAAAACACTTTGCACATTTGTGTTTTTCCAGATTAGTACTTTAGGTAGAATAAAAGGGAAAATATTCCACAACAAAGCTGCACTAAAAAAACCTAATCAACAGCAATGTTTGGACTTGTTTACCTTAGAGAGCAAGGTTCCTTTAAGAGGAATTGAATTTTAATGACAGGCTTTCACTTGAGTGAGCAACACTCGCCTCAAAGCAGTAACTCTTTTCAGCAGTAGGTACCAAAGACTGATTTGGAGGAGCCATAGGAAATACTCTTTGCTCACACATCTGTATCATTGATTCAGCATCAGCAAGACATCATACCTTGGCCTGATCCTCAAAGAGCTGCCGTTGTCGGACGGGATCGTTGAGCTCTGTGTACGCATTGCACACTTCCTTCTTCATCACAAAGAGTTCGAAGCGTTCGGTCAGTCCCGGACGGGAGCGATGCCTGTGTGAAGAAGGCAAAACAGCCAAACCTTAAAATTAACATACTTATTGAAGCAAAGAGCACATGCATTACTATGGGGGACTGTGCACACTTGGCATTAACAGCTGTCAAAACTTTGACATGCTTTTTCCCTGGATGATGGGTTTCACAGCTCAGGAACCAACCTTGATTTGTGTCAGAATTCACAAATTAGCACACAACATCAAAATCTCTGTTTTCACATATGTGACTTCTTTTTTTTCTTTTTTATAAAATAGGAGTAGAGGATTTAAAAGAATGACATACTGACTGTGACTCATACACTTACCATTTGGCAAGAGGACTCATGACCTGTGGGTGATCACAGATGAATGTAGGGTTGATACATGTGACTTCCAGGAATTCACCAACTAACTGGGAAAACAAAAGTGAAACAATTACATAGAGTACAAAAAAAAAATTACATAGAGTACAAAAACAATATCACTTTCCTAGCACTGCCTTCACAAAGCATCCTGATTTCTTCCCTTTGCTACTGAAGGTGGTACCATAAATTCAAAGAGTTTCCCAAGTAATAATTTCTGATCATGGTAATGTCTTCATTAACAGAGAATGTGTGTCCTAGTCAAGTAAGAAAAATGACACAGCAAAAACTGTATAATAATTCACTTTGCATGTTACAGCAAAGGCCAAAAAGAAAAGCATCAGAAGAACAGCTATCAGACAATATTTGGGTACAGCTGACAGAACTCCATGCTAAGCCTACCTGTTTGGGAAGATACATACTGATACACACATCTCACAGACAAAATTGACATGAGATAAAGCAGATCTGCTTTAACCACAAGACACCAGCTATCAAACTAAAATTCTCTAGCACTCAAATTAAGTAGACATAAGTAAACTACATGTTAGTGTACAAAACACAAAAGAAGATTTTGACACAGCAAGTTTTCTCACTCTAATACAGCAATAGCTGAAATGCACTTCAGCGCAGTTTCCCAGCTAAACTTCTTCTCTGAAGAGGCTTCTGTTGATACAGATAAACCCTCAAGACATTAGGATTATAAAAACAGCACCCTTACTTACTTTGTCAAGAAGCCTGGCTGTTGTCCTGGGAGGGGGACATTCAATGTCTCTCTCTGCACAAAGATTATCAAAGAACTTGCGAGTTTCTGAAATTGTAAACAAAAAATTAGAAAAGCCACCCCAGCAATCATTTTTTGTTCTTACTAGATCCTTCAACATGTTTTAGAGTGATTTAGAAGATCTTAATGGTAAACATCATGGAAAACCATGGGCTTAAATGTCAATCCAGAAAAATAGTGTCTCGCTTTAATAATTTACAGTAAAATATAAGTTATGTTATACTTCAGAAATTTGATACCACCATATGACTGTGGACATTGTTATTGGAAGAAAAAAAAAAATCACTAAGAAGTGTATGAATTTTTCCTTACGGCTACTGATTCCAGGAATAAAATAGCACATAAGCACATTTTGAAGAAAGTCCCTAATAATCATACACCTAAGCTATGATTGCAGGCACAGAAACTCAACTGCACAAAAGACAGAAGAAACAAGAAGTAAAAAGTTGTATCTCTTCAACAG